CCTGGATGGCCTGGAACTCATCTAGACCAGGCTGGCCTCGAACCCACAGATCCTCCTGCCTCTGCTTCCCAAGCTCTGGGTGCTCCTCTGAACTTCTAGATTCCTACTTTGTAGCTAGAGTTTTCCTGGCTTGCCCACAGTCAGGACAAATCTCTGTCACCCGCCAGTCCCACAGCCCCTCAGACCCAACCAAGTAAACACAGAGACTTATATTGTTTACAAACTGTATGGCCGTGGCAGGCTTCTTGCTAACTGTTCTTATAGCTTAAATTAATCCATTTCCATACATCTATACCTTGCCACGTGGCTCGTGGCTTACTGGCGTCTTCACATGCTGCTGGTCATGGTGGCGGCTGACAGTGTCTCCTTCTGCCTTCCTGTTCTTTCTTTCTCCTCTCTGTTAGTCCTGCCTATACTTCCTGCCTAGCCACTGGCCAATCAGTGTTTTATTTATTGACCAATCAGAGCAATTTGACATACAGACCATCCCACAGCATACTTCATCAGAAGCACTGGCCTCTCTTCTGCACCCTCCTCACCAGCCATTCCAATCCTCCTTCCAATGTCCTTCCATGTTCCCTCTTCCAGCGTTTATGGTTTCCAAGAGAGGCAAAAATAGAGGATAAGGAAGGATGGGGGGTAGACAGAAGGACACATGGGGCGCAAAAGTAGGAAAAGCAATTAGAGGTAGCTTACCAGGGGCATTTAGGGGTATCAGCAGGGATGAGAAGCTGCTAAATACACTGTTCAAGAATGGTATAATGACACCCTCTTGTTTGCTAATTTAAGAAATACTGCTCAGCATATTAAGACTACACACTTTCTGCTCATTCACAAGATCCTGGGCAAGAACATCAATGCTGCTGCCTCCAGGGCTGCTGCCTCCTTTCCTCTTCTTTCCTCTTCTTCTTTTAGATACTGTCTTCTACATTCCAGGCTGGCTGACCTCAAACTCACTTTGTGCTTGACCTTGAACTCCTGATCCTCTTACCCTCACCTCTCTACGATTATAGGCATGCATCACCACTCCCGGTTTTATGAAGTGCTGGGGGTCAGGATGGAGACACAGGCCTCCTGCATGTCACGCAAACACTCACCCCAGTTACCCAAGGACTATCTCCTCTGCTTTGACTGCACTCAACTGCCCCAAAGACAGAGACCAAGCTGGTTGTATTAATCATGCAATCACTAGATTCTGGGATGGAATTCATGGAAGTACTCAAAAAATGTTATCCACTGGGGGCTGGAGAGATGGCTTAGCAGTTAAGGGCTTTGTACTGATTTCGCAGAAGACCTGAGTCCAGTTCCCAGCACCCACACTGAATCGTTCACAATCATATATGATTCCAGTTCCAGGGTATTACTAATACCCTCTCCTGGCCTCTGAGGGCATCTGCACTTCTGTGCATATACCCACATAATTTAAAAATTAAAACAAAATCTAAAAAGAAAAGTAGTTACTGATTGCTACACAAAGAAACCCTGTCTCAAAAAAAAATCAATACATTTGTGTGGGTGTGGGTGTATAATATATATCACATTTATTTGTTTAGTGTTGGTGCATGTGTACATGCCATGCTATGCACAACATTTCGAAGTTGGTCTTTTCCTTCCATTGAATCCTGGGGAACTGAACTCAGGCTATCCGGCTTGGGAGCAAGCACCTTTACTGACTGAGCCATCTCACCAGCTGCCAAATTTAAACCTTTGGAGAACAACAGAAAACTATTAAGAAAACGAAGAGGTCAGGCATGGTAACAACATTCCTGTATTCTCAGCTGAGGCAGGAGGATCAATATGGGTTTGAGGCCAGCCTGATTAGAAGGAAAAAAGTGAGTTCTGGAAAGGAAGTTGAGTCAATAAACTGCTTTCTCCACAAGCAAAGAGGACCTGAGTCTGGATCCGCAGCATCCCTGTAAAAAGTCAGCATTAGTATTGCAATCTGTAGTCCCTTGCTGGGGAAGCAGAGATGGGAGAGTCTCTGGAGCCTGCTGGCCTGCCATTCTAGCTGAATCAGTGAGCTCTGAGTTCACTAAACAACCGGGTCTACAAACAAACAAACAAACGTGGAGAGCAACTGAGGAAGACACCTGACACCATTGATCTCTGGCTCCATACACTTGTACACACACACACACACACACACACACACACACACACACACAGTCTCTTGGGGGGGACCCATAGAAGGGGAGAAGGTATTTGTAAACATGTATCTCATAAGTTATCTGGTCTAAGCCTAGGGGTGACAGCCTGTAGACCCAGGGGACTAAGACAAGGTAATCTCAAATTCCAGCCTACCCTGGGCTACATAGTTAGAGACCCTACCTCAAATTAAAAGGTGGTATAGATCTGTGGTGATATTTTATTTGTATGTTAATAAGTAAAAATTGCCTGGAGATCAGAGGAAACAGCAAGCTATTAACACAAAAGTCAGGCAGTGGTAGCACATGCCCTTAATCCGATCACTTGGCAGTCAGGGTCTCTGTGTGTTGAAGGTCACACTAGGGAACAGAGCCAAGCGTGGTGACACAGGCCTTTAATCCCAGTACCAACCATAGAGACCCTGGAGGTCTGTACAGACAGACAGTAACAAGGAAATGAGGTAGCTGGGCTAAGAGCCAATGAGAAAGCAGAACAGCAAGGCAATGAAAGCCTGTGTAGACAGGAAATCGTGGCATTTTGGAAGCTGGAAAGGTAAGGCGGTTGGTGGCTCTCACTATTTCCCTGATCTCTAAGGCTTTCACCCCTGTATTTGGCTCCGTGTTCTTTATTTAATAAGACCACTTAGAAATTCATCTACATAGATCTGATATTGATCACACATAACTCCTATAAGTTAACAACAAAAATACAAATAGCCTGATGTTGGAATAAACAAAGGACTTTACTACACATTTCTTTGTGGGTTTTTTGTTGTTGTTTGTTTGTTTGTTTGTTTTGAGACAGGGTTTCTCTGTGTAGCCCTGGCTGTCCTGGAACTCACTCTGTAGACCAGACTGGCCTCAAACTCAGAGATCTGCCTACCTCTGCCCCCTAAGTGCTGGGATTAAAGGCGTGCCCCACCACCACCCGGCCTTTACTACACATTTCTACAAGGAAGAGAAGCATATGACTGAGAAGCATACAAAAAGGTGCTCATTGTCACTAGGCCATGGGGAAATGGAAATCAAAATGACAACGAGAGCGCTGGGAAAACAGCCCAGCTTTAGAGTGCTTGTCTAGCATGCATAAAGGCCTGGGTTCCATGCCAGCCCTGCAGAAACTGGGCATTGTAATGCTTGCCTGAAATCCCAGTACTCAAGGGTGGACACTACAGACTTAGTAAATGTTTAGTTCTGGAAAGATGGCTCAGTGGTTAAGACCATGTACAGCTTTTGCTGAGGAGCCAAGTTCAGTTCTCAGCTTCCATACTGAGCAGTTCACAAACACCTGTAACTCCAGCTCCAGGGGATTGGCTTCTCTGGGCACCTGCACTCATGTGCACATACCTACACACACACACACACACACACACACACACACACACACACACACACACATCTCACAAT